TCCAGACAGTAGTTGCAGACAAGTAGCGCGGAAACAATTATTGCTCTATATGCATACTGTATAAATAATAAAGGGTCATAACTCTGTGATTAAGGGTCTGACCGTTGCAAGGCAACAATATGCGCATCTCATCTTGGCATTGATTGCTCCCATAGTTTCATTAAATTCCTGCCAGTAGTTGCAGAGAAATAGCATGGAAACGGTTATTGCTTTATATACATACGTATATAGTCAAGGGCCATAACTCTGTGTTGAAGGGTCTGACCTAAACAAAGCAATGATATGCGCATCTCCTCTTGGTATTGATGGTTCCCATAAAGTTTTGTTGAATTCCTGTCAGTAGTTGCAGAGAAGTAGCGCGAAAACGATTATTGTTTGATAAGTATATGCAAAACCTAGGGTCATAACTGTGTGTAAAGGGTCGAACCGGAACAAGGCGACAATACGTTGATATTGATAGTTCCCATAAAATTTCATTGAATTCCACCCAGTGGTTGTAGAGAACGAGCCCTTAAACGAAATTCAGGCGGAGGGACAACGCCAAAACAATATTCCCCTCCCGATTCCATCCGTGCGGGATAAAGTGCAATAACTTCAAAATAAGGGAAGGCAGAGTTATGGTTCTTTTGCACTGCACTTTAACTCAACGAGATATATCTACATACAAAGTTTCTTGTTAATACCCCTTGTTGTTTCAGAGTTTCCCGGATAATGAGATTCTATCAACCTACAAAGTTTATTGTAACACTTCTTTTCGTTCAGACAAAGTTCAAAGTGTAAAAATAAACAAAGGGCAATAACTCCAAAATTAGGCAATGCAGAGTTACGGTTTTTTTGCACTTAACTTCTACCCAATGAGATCTATCTATCTACAAAATTTGAAGTTAATATCTCTTGTAGTTTCAGTTATGTCCCGGACAAGAAATTTACAACATACCAACACCAGCCGACTCCAGTATACCCGTTGTCGGGGGTAAAATGACATCCGGTGGGTCGAATTGGCCCTGTCCTTGGGGTGTGCTCATAGGTTTTCCTTTTATGTATATAGTAAAAACTAAAATGATCTCTGAATTGAAAAAGGCTAGCGGTAAGATATTTGGCATGAAGCAATGTTTAGTGGAACTCTACTTAATTTGTTGAAATTATAGCCCTGGGGTTATAACTGGGTCTGTCCCGCGGTCATAAATTCTAATAATCTGTATATAGCAAAAATTTAAACAAGAGGGCCAAGATGGCCCTAGATCGCTAACCTGACCCGTCAAACTCATCAGAGCAATTACTTAGACAAGCATCCTGAAGTTTGTTGACAATTGAGTCAAAATTGTGTTAACAGGGTGTTTCCATATTTGGGCAGTGTGACCTAGTCTTTGACGCCAGGTGACCCATATTCGAACTCATCGAAACAAACTCTCAGACCAATTTCCACAATATTTGAATCAAAACAGTTGCCACAAGAGTGTTAACGTTTTTCTACTTTTAGCTCCTGTGACCTAGTTTTTCACCCGAAATGACCCATGTCCGAACTCTATCTGAGTAATTACCTACACAAACATCCTTACCAAGTTTGATGACAATTCAGTCAAAAATGTGACCACTAGAGTGTTAAGGTTTTTCCATATTATGTTTTGACCCCTGGTGACCAATATTCGAACTTGACCTAGAAGTCACCAAAACAAACGTTTTGACCAATTTTCAGGATATTTGGATAGAAACAGTTAACCCTTTACCTCATAAAGACCTGTTCTGACGGCTTTTCAACCCCCCCCCTTCCCCTTTTTGAGGCCTCAGTGAAAAAATGCCCAGGTGAGCTAAAAATCTTCTCAGGCTAGATATTTGGCATATAATATCATTTCTAGATAGGTCCTCTAGTTGTTCAGTTTGTCCCTATTGTTACAAGCAATTATCATAGTATTGCAAGCAATCCATAAGTCCCCTACCGGATAGAACCCCATCAGCATTCTGAAGGGCCATTGGCCATTCACTAATGTGTACATTTTTCTCTATTTTAAGTAAATTTGTTGGAAATGTTCTTTAAAAGTGATCACAGGAAAAAGTTTTTATGAAAAGACAGACAGACGAACTGAAGGACACTCTAAAGTTAATATTTGAAACATCCCTGTTACCAAAATATAACATTTTAAAAAGCAAAATTCTTAAAGAGGAGATAACTCTGGAATTCAAGATGCAATTTCATAAAAAGTTTCAGCTCTTTTTGACTAGTCACAAATATTGTTATATTTGCCATGTTTTAAGCCTATTTGTTGCCAAGGCAACCAATATTTTTTCAAAATAGGGGGAACTGATAAGACCTGCATAATCTCAAGATTGCCATCTGCCCATATGTCAAGTTTCATAAAAATATTTCCACTACTTTTTGAGTTACCACTGGATTCAGTTTATGTGTAAAATTTGCCATATTTTCAGTCTATGTGTTGCCATAGCAACCAGAATTTCCAACATAGGAAGAAAAGAAAAAGACGTGTATAATCTCCAGACTGCCATCTACACATATTACAAATTTCATAAAAATATTTCTATTACTTTTTGCGTTAACACTGGATTCAGTTTATGTGTAAAAATTGCCATGATTTCAGTCTATTTGTTGCCATAGCAACCAGAATTCTCAACATAGGAAGAAAAAAAACGTGCTTAAACTCCATACTGCAACCTATCCATATATCAAGTTTCATAAAAAATATTTCCAGTACTTTTTGCGTTATCACTGGATCCAGTTTATGTGTAAAATTTGCCATATTTTCAGCCTATTTGTTGCCATAGCAACCAGAATTTTGAACATAGGAAGAAAAGAAAAAGACGTGCATAATCTCCATACTGCCATCTATCCATATATCAAGTTTCATAAAAATATTTCCAGTACTTTTTGCGTTATCACTGGATCCAGTTTATGTGTAAAATTTGCCATATTTTCAGCCTATTTGTTGCCATAGCAACCAGAATTTTCAACATGGGAAGAAAAGAAAAAGACGTGCATAATCTCCATACTGCCATCTATCCATATATCAAGTTTCATAAAAATATTTTCAGTACTTTTCAAGTTATCGCGGGATCCAGTTTCGTGGACGGACGGACTGACAGACGGACGGAGGGTAAACCTAAAGTCCCCTCCGGTAAACCGGTAGGGGACTAAAAATACAAATAATGAAATGTCTTCGGGTGAGAGCTTTGGGGCCAATTGTCCCCGATTGTTGAAAAATCATGTAGAGCTAGAAATCATACCACAACAATTTCTGTATCAAATTTCCACGAATATTGGAATCAAAACAAGCTAGCTCCTAAAGGTTTTTTCAACGTTATTCTGAGGCTGCTTTTACAATCCCACTGAATGACCACCATTCGAAATACTATACTGGCTAGAACATCCCTCTTAGAAAACTTATCCATAACCATACCACCCAGTTTCCAGGGCAATTACTGTTTACTTAGTTTGGTGTTCGTATATTTATTTTTTCATATGCAATTTACGCTTCGTTCAACTATTACGTAATTGTGTTTCAATAAAGCATTCGTAGTTATAAAGCAATCAGTTAGTGGATATAAAATTTCACACATTGCATATAGGGTCGACTAAAATTATATCATATTTTAGGTAATACTTTTTATAACAATCACTTGTGACTCTGTCCAGGCGATGTGTAAGCAGGGAAAATCGCTATTCGACGTTACACACACTCCGTAATCTCAAGCTGTTTAATCCGAATCATCAACGTGCCAACACTCAACTGACTTTCGCTCAATTTTTATAGATCAGAGAAAAAACTGCCAAAAACAATAACACATGTTGAATTATTGCTAAAGAAGAAATATATATATATTTTTTATAGATAAATATTGTGTCAATTATTGACAAATATTCTTTTTTAGTCTGCATCTGAAAAAAGTGATAAAATTACAAGCACTGTTGAATTAAAATTTTCTTGCATAAGATTTCACTCAGGACGGAGTGTTGATTACTCGTGTATTTAACTTTTTTGTTGTTGCTTTCTTTGTCATTTTTACACAAATGGAATTTATTATACATATACAGATGAAATATATTTCAAAGGTGATATAGATCCCTGATACATCATAAATATTTCATTAAATCACCACAGAAATAGAGTTAATTGTATTTTCTGGCAAATTTTATTTTTCATTTTCCTGTGAAAAAAACATGTCAGTGGGTCAGTTAACAGCAAGATATAACAAGAGGGCCATGATGGCCCTGAAATTGCTCACCTGAATATAAAACTCTCCATGACAAGGAACAAGTATAAACAAAAGCAGGTATAAAATCTAAATCTAAACTTATATCACAAAATTCATATTTTTAAAAACATTACTGGTGAAAAAACAACAGTTCCAAAAGATGTGTAAATATAAGGAAAATCAATGACCCTAAGGGGGGGGGGGGGGGGGGGGGGCAATTTTGACCCACGGGCTTTTATTTGAACAAATTTTGTACACTCATTAGACCATGTTTCATGCTAAATATTTAAGCTCTAGCTCTTTGGGGTTTTTAAAAGAAGATTTTTAAGTTTTCACTATATCCATATAAGGAAAATCAATAACCCCCTTGGGCGTGGCTAATTTTGACCCAAGGGCTTTCATTCGAACAAACTTGGTAGACACTCACTTGAGGATTTTTCATGCTTAATATCTTAGTTCTAGCTCTTTGGGTTTTTAAAAATATTTTTTTAAGTTTTTACTATATACGTCATTGACACCCTCGGGGCGGGGCCAATTTTTACCCCAGGGCTTTTATATGAACAAACCTGGTAGACACTTACTAGCAAATGTTTCATGCTAAATATCTAAGCTCTTGCTCTTTGGGATTTTAAAAGATTTTTTTTTTAAGTTTTACAATACACATATAAGGAAAATCAATGACCCCGCTCCCCCCGGGAGAGGGGCCAATTTTTACCCCAGGGATTTTATTTGAACAAACTTGATAGAGACTTAATAGAAGATATCTCATGCTAAATATCTAAGCTCTAGCTCTCTGTTTTTTTTTTATTTGTACAATAAACATATATGGAAAATCAATGACTCCCCAGGCGGGCCCAACTTTTAACCAATGACTACAATTTAAGGTCTACTACACAATGTTTCATAACAAATATCTAACCTCTAGCCTTGGTCAATTCAGAGAAAATATTTTTTACTATATATATATAAAGAAAATCAATGACGGCCCAGGGCAGGGCCAATTTTAACCCAAGGGCTTTTATTTGAACAAACTTGGTAGACACCCATTAGAACATGTTTTAGTTTATTTTTTTAGAACATTTGTTTCTTTTCCTATATACATATAAGGAAAATCAATTACCTCCATGGGGCGGGGCCAATTTTGACCTAGGGATTTTATTTGAAGACAACCATTAGAATATGTTTCATATTAAATATCTATTCTAGTTCTTTGGGTTTTTTAAAAGAAGGAGTTTTTTTTTTACTATATACATACATGTATAAGGAAAATCAATGACCCCTGAGATGGGGCCAACTTTGACCCAAGGGCTTTTATTTGAACAATTTGGTAGAGACCCACTAGAAGATATTTCATGCTAAACATCTAAGCTCTAGCTGAAAGTTTTTTTCTTTCCATTGCCATGGCAACCAGAGTCCTTCAATGAATTCTTAAACAATTTCAAAAGGTCACCACACAAGGAACATTCCTGAAAAGTTTGAATAAAATTGGCTTAGTGGTTTAATAGATGTCGTTTAAAGTAAAATTTTACAGAGGGACGACAGACGGACACTGGACGAAAAGCGATCAAAAACACTCAAGTCATTTTGTGACAGGTGAGCTAAAAATTATGATTTAATGCATATAATAAAATTGAGACTCTTATTCAAAACCACTGAACATATTTCTAATTAATTTATTATGTTAAATCTATTTTGCGGAACTCTTACATAACGAAAACAGTAGTAACACCTTTATATATTTTTTGTTTTGTTTTTGGGTTTTACATCGACACAGTATAGGTCATATCGCGATGTTGCAGCTTATCTGTTGGAGGAAGACCTCAGGAGCCCTTCCGTGCATGATTTCAGGCACGAACTGGCACGTGAAGTAGAACCACCGTTATATATAGGTTGGGAGGTGGGGGAAATGTCCACCCTTCAAACTTCTTAAAATATAAGGGGGTCAAAGTTCGCCGTTTAAAAACATACAAGAGGCAAATGTCCGCCACCATCAGAAAGTGGTGTTAAATATACAGTCGAGACTGTCAAATGTGACTTTCCAAGGGACCTTCAGAAAAAGGTCATAAATGACAGGGAGTCTCTTAATACAGTCACTAGAAAATTAAAATACCATCTATCTGTCTATATATTATTGTGACTCAACATATATATTACTGTGAGAAGGAATAATATCTAACCAATTGCAAATAAACATAGGTACTTTATACGTAAAGCAAATATAATCGCATGTATATCATATAAAATTTAATTTTATTTTTTGTATTAGATTTATATTGAATCATTATGGTACAAATTAACTTGAATGTGATGCATTCAAATCCTTAAAATAAATATCATACTTTAAAAAACATATCCATATCCAATGGTTTTTGTGGTCTGGTATCAACATTTTTTCCGTATTATTCATGCAGCCATAGAAAGGTAAATTTAAAAAAATGCCGTCTAAAAAAATCTTCTGACACTCCATATTTTTTTTAAATTTGAAACAAGTCTTAATCCGGTTTACTAAGGTTATTATGTTCATGACACCTCAATTTGTTAACACAAATCAATTGCATCATGCTTACCATATTTGGCAGTAGGCAGTAGATGCTAGGTCACTTGATACCTGTAAACTGTATAATTGAGGCAGAGGTGTGTAGAGTTTGTTTAAAGAGTACTGACTACTGGATTATAATTGGACTTAACTATTTTGCCCCTCTGGGTGTTAAAACAGGTATTATTTATCTGATTAACGGAAAATTAAAAGGTGTGAATCAGACAAAGCAATGCATTGGGACCAGACAATTAGGGTCGCTTGTCACATATGACAGGGAGTTGTATAATTCAGACCATTTATATAGGAAAATACCTTGGGAGGACTGAAACAAGGTCGGATAAGACAGGGAGTCGTTGAAATCAGGGGGTCGCTAAGGCAGTCTCGACTGTATCCTCAGTTTAGTCAATATTTATTAAACTATCCTTATTTAGAAATAACTAAAATTTGCATCATTCTTACAGCTTTTCCATACCAAACAAATCTGAATAATTCAAGTCATTTTTCAGACAAGAAATATGCATGCACATTTTTAAAAGAATGAGCTAAAAATCATTTCTGTGAGTTCTAGTAAAAATTTACCAAATAGTTATAGAGAAGATACTGTAGATAACGACAACGATCACCTGGCAATCACAAAAACTGACATGAGCCAAACAACAAACATATAACAATGTTTTTCCTACTATTAAAACTATATTTGAGGAAATACTCCACCAAAACACTGATATCAAATAATCCAACCATATTTCATCAATGAAAATGTATTTTAATAAAAAAACTCTTTTCTCATCTTTTTCTATCACTTAAATGTTACATTTAAAATCTCCTCTTTTATCACCTCAGTCAGTAAAATATCTTCTTTTTCGAAAACAAATGCTTCTGTTAAACTAATAGTTCTCTGTCTTTGACTTTGACAACATTACAACTTACAGAGTATCCTTTTTTGTAACTTGTCTTATTCTCATCTCTTTGAATGTTTCATACTAATTGATGATCTCCTGTCTCCTCTATTCTCATTCCATTCTGGATCATTGTCATCTTCACATGTAGAAGTTGAAGTACCACTTGGTGCTGGAGAGGCAGCAAATGTGACAGAGTCTAACTGCTCAAAGTCTGGACTTATAAACTCCATGCTAGGGTCATCCTGAACTTTCACTGTTCTTGGTCGCCTGTACCTATTCCTTGTAGAGCTAATTTGATTCTGTTCAATCTTCATTTCTTCATACACATCTTCTGGCAAAGGGAACAACCTGGCTGGCCATGGGTCTGTATGTTCCATATCATAATACTCATAATCTTTTAAATCATCAAATGTTGTTGATTTACGAGAAGTAGAACCACTTCGTCGACGCTCCTCATGAATGAAAGACAAATAGCTGGCACCATCTGTCTGTAAAGGGATCTCATTCAGATTGCAATCAGGTGAAAAAGTATCTAATGTATTACTTTCACTTTCTCGTGATAGTCGTCCACGTCGTACAGGAGGGTATGTAATGAAGTTTCGGAATCTTTTTCTCTCTTCAGCTTCCATAGATTCATGTCTGTCAATGAATGCCTCATCTGTCATATCTTCCACCTAAAAAATTATTTCACAAATAATCAGTACCTAAGATATGTCAAGTGTTATTTTTCAAATTTGAGCTCAGCAAAAGCAATATAGAACCAGAGAGTCATGATAACTCTCACTATATCGCTCACCTGATTATTAAGGCTCTGAATGAAATTCAATTAATATTGTTAGCAATGAATGAAAAGCAGAAATAATGTCATTAACTTAACAAAAGCCACCGCCTGGCGAGGGCAAAGCTCGACTTTTCTATTTTTTCTAAAAGCAAACAAATAAAAGGTTCAAACAAATCTTTAACAAGAGCACTGCATATCCGTGGCAATATACGCCTGAATGCAAATTTGTTTTAAGTAAATAAAATGCAAAGTTATCATAAAGAATGTTAAAAAACAGACAGGATACCCACTTATAACATTTGTCCAAAACATGTTTAATTTCAATTATCAATATTAAGATCTACATTGAAACATGCCAAAGAGCTATGCTCTTGTCTCATGAATACTTAGTGACAATTATATATGCCGCAGCTTTCTGCTGTTGAGTACCGACCCAAGACATGTCACCAGTCATACCCTTAAAAAACTTTCTATGAAGCACCGAGTGGTGATTATTATTTATCTCCATGCAACTGTCACAGAGTATATATATACTGACTGAAAGCAATTTTAACTGCACACTGTCTCAATATAGGTAATATTTCCGCAAAAAAAAATTTAATTTCTTTCTATTGGTTCAAAAGATACAGAGCAGACAAAAAATGCTGATATTGAACCAAAATGACTAAGTGTGACCTTGACCTGAGAAAGGTCAAACCTATGCTCTGCACATCCTCTCATTACGGATAATATTTCTGCCCAGTAGTTTGAATTTACTTCCAGTGGTTCAAAAGATACAGACCGGACAAGAAAACATCTATATAAGTCAATATAAATCAATAAATTCCCAGGGTGCGCCAATTTTAATTGTAGGAAGTCCAAACTTGTGTTCTGCGCACACCGTCTCAATTTAAGTAATATTCCTGCCAAAAAGTTTTAATTTCCTTCCATTGGTTCAAAAGATACAGAGCGGTAAAAAAAATTTGATATTGAAACAAAATGACTAAGTGTGACCTTGACCTGAGAAAGGTCAAACCTACGCTCTGCACAGTCTCATTATGGTTAACATTTCTGCTATGTAATTTGAATTTCCTTCCACCAATTCAAAAAATACAGACCGGACAAGTAAACCTGCTAACAGACGGAGGGACGGACGGGCAGACAACCAGGTGCATAACAATATACACCGAAATTCTTTTGGGGCAACATTGTCGCAAAATATGCCCAGCTTTGGTAGAGATGTGGACATTATAGATATGCATATAAGAGATATGCTCTGGGCAATTTCTGGAAAATATCTGGATATTTTATCATCTCTAGTGACCTTGACCTTGCAAATATTAACCTAAATTACATGTGTTACACTTGAAATCATGACAATTATTCTATTTTTAGCTCCTGTGACCTAGTTTTCCACCCGAGATGACCCATGTTCGAACTCATCCAAACAATTGACTAAACAAGCATCCTGACAAGGTTTCTTAATAATTGGGTCAAAAATGTGACCACTAGAGTGTTCACAAGGTTTTTCTATTTATAGCTCCTGTGACCTAGTTTTTCATCGGAGATAAACCATGTGCAAACTCATCACAGCAATTATCTAAACAAGCATCCTGACAAAGTTTGATCATGATTAGGTAAAAAATGTGACCACTAGAGTGTTCAAAAGGTTTTTCTATTTTTAGCTCCTGTGACCTAGTTTTTCATCAGAGATGACCCATATTCAAACTCATCTGAGCAATTGACTAGACAAGCATCCACTCTAAGTTTGATGATGATTGGGTCAAAAATGTGACCACTAGTGTTCACAAGGTTTTTCTATTTTAAGCTCCTGTGACCTAGTTTTTCATCAGAGATGACCCATGTTCGAACTCATCCAAGCAATTGACTAGACAAGCATTCTGACCAAGTTTGATGATGATTGGGTCAAAAATGTGACCACTAGAGTGTTCACAAGGTTATTCTATTTATAGCTCCTGTGAACTAGATTTTCATCGGAGATAAACCATGTGCAAACTCATCACAGCAATTATCTAAACAAGCATCCTGACAAAGTTTGATCATGATTAGGTCAAAAATGTGACCACTAGAGTGTTCAAAAGGATTTTCTATTTTTAGCTCCTGTGACCTAGTTTTTCATCAGAGATGACCCATATTCAAACTCATCTGAGCAATTGACTAGACAAGCATCCTGACCAAGTTTGATGATGATTGGGTAAAAAATGTGACCACTAGAGTGTTCACAAGGTTTTTCTATTTATAACTCCTGTGACCTAGTTTTGATCAGAGATGACCCATATTCGAACTCATCTGCGCAATTATCTAAACAAGCATCCTGACAAAGTTTGATGATGATTGGGTCAAAAATGTGACCACTAGAGTGTTCACAAGGTTTTTCTATTTTTAGCTCCTGTGACCTAGTTTTTCATCAGAGATGACCCATGTTCGAACTCATCCAAGCAATTGACTAGACAAGCATTCTGACCAAGTTTGATGATGATTGGGTCAAAAATGTGACCACTAGAGTGTTCACAAGGTTTCTCTATTTATAGCTCCTGTGACCTAGATTTTCATCGGAGATGACCCATGTTCGAACTCATCCAAGCAATAATCTAAACAAGCATTCTGACAAAGGTTGATGATGATTGGGTCAAAAATGTGACCACTAGAGTGTTCACAAGGTTTTTCTATTTTTAGCTCCTTTGACCTAGTTTTCCATCCGAAATGACCAGTTTCGAACTCATTCGAGCAATTGACTAAACAAGCATCCTGACAAAGTTTGATGATGATTGAGTCATAAGTGTGACCACTAGTGTGTTCACAAGCAATTGTGGACGTACGACGGACGACGGAAGACGGACATTCACCGATCCTAATAGCTCACCCCGAGCAAGCTCAGGTGAGCTAAAAAACACCTTTTTATCAAAGGGCCATAACTTGGCCAAAAATCATTCAACCAGAAAACCCGTGCAATATGCGCAAGGACTTGAGCTACAGATCAATCTTGTAAAGTTTCATTTAAATTGCATTAGTGGTATAAGATAAGTAGTCCGGACAAACTTTAAAAATAAAAATTATTAAAGGGCCATAACTCTGACAAAAAAACTCCGTAGAGGCGACACAAAAATTCACAAAAATGTGTAAATAATTCACAATTTGCAGGATTGCTTTTCAGTATCAAACAAAATAATGAACTGACAAATGACAATCTTGAGAATTTGATTGATATATTTGAGGGAATAAAAAGAAGAAACCTGAAACTATGAATATAATTATTAAAATGTATGAATAAAGTGACTACAGGTGATGATTTATTCTTGTTTATTTTTTCACAATTTGAAAGATTATCGCGCAAAAAATTCACAATTTCAGGGGTATGGGTTGTTGCAAAAAAAGTAAAAAAAATCACTGCTAGCTTTTGTCAATTCAGAGAAGACGATTTTTTTTAAAGTTTTAACTATACTGGCATGCGAGCAGTTCCCGTACAAAAATCATAGTTACTTAAACATTATTTTTTATTACGCTCACTCACCAAAGTTTTAATTTTACACATCAATATTCGGCTCGTCACACAAATCATGGAAATTCCATCATGTTCTAAACATAGAATAACCCTTACTTATGAGGCCTCATATGGGGTACCGAAATTATCGATTATTTTGTATGAAGAGAAGTAGTTCCCGTACATAAAATCGAACCCATTATAATTATACAATTTTATTATATCAGACCTATTTTTCATTTACAATTGTTGAACAGACCATTATCTAAGAGATAAATAGATGTAATTCAGGAAATAGAGCGTAGACTAAACGCAGGTATCTATTACCCGGTACCGTTACCCCAACGCATTCACATGCAATAGCATGCTTGTATGCATGGTATTTTACGCATTAAAGCCATAAAATTATTTTATATAGTTATATTGGTCAAAATTCTGATAATTAAACAAGTTTTCGTCACATTGCCTACTTATCTGTGAACAGGTGGTATTAGTGGAAAACCCTTTAACCAGACTCACGTGTAAGTATTTTAGCGCATGCGCGCAAGGACGGAATCCCCCAGAGAAAACAAGGTCACGTTTTGACGACGCACAGGTGAAAGTGATTTAAAATGAGACTTTTTATACGTACTGCCGAACTGACACTTAGATTTTGTCTCGTTTATGTATCTACTTGATTTGAAATAAATTTTTGAAGAATGCAAGTAAAAATCAAGCGTTTAAATGAAAAATACGGGTACTGCTTCTGTACGGGAACTGCTCGCATGCCAGTATACATAATTATAAGGAAAGTCAATGAATACCTTGGGTGTGGCTAATTTCGATTAGAACAAACTTGGTACACACCCACTAGAGGATATTTATTGCTTAATATCTCAAGTTCTAGCTCTGGGTAATTTTTTTAAAGATTTTTTAAGTTTTTACAATATACATATAAGGAAAATCAATGACACACTAGGGGCAGGGCCAATCTTTGCCCCATGGCTTTTATATGAACAAACTTGGTGGACACTTACTGGCAGAATTTTCATGCTAAATATCTAAGCTGTAGCTCTTTGGGTTTCTTAAAAGAATTTTGTTTTGTTAAGTTTTTACAATACACATACAAAGAAAATCAATTAGCCCACCACCCGCGAGGGGCCAATTTTTACCCCAGGACTTTTATTTTGAACAAACTTGGTAGAGACCCAATAGAAGATATTTCATGCTAAATATCTAAGCTCTCTGGGTTTTTTTTAAAAAGAAAATATTTTACAAATCAACATATAAGGAAAATCAATGACTCCCCGGGCGGGACCAATTTTAACCCAATGACTACAATTTGAACAATCTTGGTAGAGGTCTACTACACAATGTTTCATAACAAATATCTAACCTCTAGCCTTTGTCAATTCAGAGAAGATAATTTTTAA